GGGGGGGGGGGGGGGGGGGGGGGGGATGAGAGGGAGCCAGGAGTGTGCACACACAGCCATCTTCTCAGAATGTCTCTCTCACCCCCAAGATTGCCTCACCATGGCAATGCCAATAGAATACAAGTGTTCCTAATTCAGAGCTTCTTCTGAAACTTTAGCATCACAGACAGGACATGACAAAAAAAAAAAAATGAGTCCTTACAACCAACAACCTGCAAGAACCAATAACCCTAATAATCAAGTGCTTTGTATGTGGCAGTGTGTGATATTAAATATATGTGAAGATATATTAAGATGAGCAATGACATACCTGCATGATTTTAGGCAATACATCAACTCCATTTTTAGTGTTTTGTATTGTAGTTAGATACTTTTTTTCCAAAAAGAAAGTTACAATCCACTTAATAAAAACAACACGAGCTGCCATGTATGGAATTTTTGTACTGTAAATGTTTTCAGTGTCTCGAGTCGTGGTAATGTACACTGGCTTTGGTCTTAAGTGGGGAATATCTGTAAGAAAAAAGAGCACATGATTAGGTTAGTGAAACTTGACATTATGTAATTCCTACAAATATTTCAGTTTCCAAGCAAATAGACATATATTTGGTTTTCTGAATAGCAACTAAGATTAAAGAACCAGAAATTATTTAGAATGTCATCCTTTGGAAGGCTCACTTCGAATTCTGCCTTGCAATCTGACCAAGATGAGAGATGGTGGTTGTTACTGTTTACTTACAGCTGTGGTAGACAGCTGTGGAAAATCTAAGCTAATAACTCTTTTTCACACATTTGAGAAATTACATAAGATTATAATAGTGAAAATGTTTTCACATATGTTATAATGAATTTAATCTTATTTTATGATTGGAACAAGTATAAAACCGTGTTATAAACATTTTTTCATCATTTTAAGTATTTTAACATCCAACACTATACTAATAAAATCAACTGAACTTCAGTTTTATATCCTTTTTCCTTTAGATAACTCCAAAGAAATAGAATCAGTATAATCCACTTTATATCTAAAAGAATTCAGAAAATCATGTTTCATTTTTGAGGTATCAGATACCACTATTTCCAAAGAATTAATAAGAGGTTCATTTTCATTCTTTGTATTCCATAATCAATATGAAAATTATATTATAATGAATTTGAGATTAACTACTTGCTGTAATTATTCATTCTTTGTATTCCATAATCAATATGAAAATTATAATGAATTTAAGATTAACTACTTGCTGTAATTCCAACTCTCTTACTAATTTTTGTACATGCATGAGGCAGAAAAATCCTTAGCAAACAACTTTATATTTCGGAATGTTAGTAATATACTATGTTTTCTATAACATAAACTACTAATGAAATCAGAAACAAATTTTTTTAAAATACCCACATACAAAGCTAACAAAATACATATCCTAGTACCCTCACAGGCAGTATTTCTACACTTTTCAAAATGCACCAAGTTTCAGTTGTTTCCCTCTTGCCAGAGAGAGAGAGGATGCGCATGTGGACAAATAAATGCCTACATATCCTAGTACCCTCACAGGCAGTATTTCTACACCTTTCAAAATGCACCAAGTTTCAGTTGTTTCCCTCGTGCCAGAGAGAGAGAGAGAGAGAGAGAACGCATGTGGACAAATAAATGCACACAGACAACTGAATTAGTTGTCCACATTCTCCAGGTGAATTAATCTCTGTTATAATCTTTTCCCCTCCCAAATGCTCTTAATTATTCATTGTAACTAATTTCACCTGCTTTAGATAACAGGCAGAGGAAGATTTGCCTCACCTCTACCTCTCTAAGAGATGCTTCTGGCCTGTGAGCCCTCATTTCTTAAAGAAGGAAAACTTAAGAAGCTAAATAAAAAAATCCCTTATGTTTCCTTCATCTCTGGGCTTACAGTCCCTAGGCTGCCCAACTGCCCAACATCTGCCCCTCCATAAGCAGCTGTGGGTCGTCTCTGCTGGGTGAAAGATCCAGTGAGAAAAGCAAGGGCATGCTGTGGGCAGCTGTGTGGCCTGGGCTTGCCTGCCTATCTATTGAGCAAGGCCTGGGGTCACCACACCCCACCACCAGTAAGAGAAGACTTACTGAAATGTAAGCTTTATTTTTTTTTCCATTAAAAGATTTTAAATATAATCACACCCCCAAAATCACAATTCATTGCAAATTATTTCTGAGTATCGGAGCCACAGTTCCCTCTTATTGTTGTGAGTTGAGGTACATCTTAGTTTGTATAAGCATTTAAAACAGTTAATATCAGTTATTAGGAAACTTTAAACCTCTTACAATAAAGTTAGCATTAAGTATAAGAAAAAGATTACTATTTTACTTAAAAATAATTAGAGATTGCTTTGAAGGAAACTGTACAGCTTGTCTGTGGAAATCCTCCTTATACAGCTCAAACAGTACTTACCAAGTACAGGTTTGTAGATGTTTGTTAACTTAGTAAATGATGGAAATAAATGAGGAAGATAATACTTTCGAAACAATGTAAAAAGAAATTTAAAACCAGTATCTTGATTCTCCTTATTTTTCCACTCCAAGCTTGCAGCCTTTGGATAATATGTGGAAAAAAACACATATATTTACATTTCAAATTAATGTATACTAAACTGATTATTTTTAAAATTGACAAATACTGATAATCATGTAATAAAACCATATCTTAAAACTCAAAAGATGACAAAAATGAATAATTCTAAACAAACCAGTAACTATGTTAAAAACATGTTTATTGCGTATTAAAAAAAAATTACCCAACAATCTTGCTCTACTACATCACGTTATTTTTTTCACATGTTCTTTATAATGATTTAACATTCCTTGTGCCCTTAAAACATCTAGTTAGATATAAAAGGTGCTTTTTTAAAAACTCAAAAAGGTCATTTATAATAAACAAGAATTAAGGAAACAAACCCTTATAAAGATTTCATCCAATGGTACCTCCATGCAAAATCAGTATCAAAAGATCCAGCTACGGAATCTTGGAAAATGCATTGTCCTTACTAAAAGCAATCCACAGGCTAGGAGAGGCTAGGGCTGCCAGTTCAGCCACACCTATTAGTGGGGTCTTAGTACTTGTTAGAACACAGAGTGCCCTACACCAGTTTCCGCAAATTCCTTCATGACGCAGTCCACTTAGAAAATGATAACAGTTCAGCACCTGAGGTAAAGGAACGAGGGGCTTTGGCGGCTCCTGGGCAGAGGAGCTCAGTGTCTGTAACCTGCCAGAAGTTCTCTGGGATGGGCCAAGGCAGAAACTCTGCTCTGAGGACCCACCCAGAGAAGGGGGGGGGGAGGGGTGGACACGCACACATAATTCTGCACACAATTTAGGGGCTTAGTCTAAATAAAAACCTCCCCAATATCGATGGCTTCCTTCCTCTTATGGGATCCTGGTGACTTCCTAACTTATCTGAGGTCACACAGCTCATTAATGACACATCTAGAATGAAAACCCGTCTCCCAGCACATCGAAGACTGAGATACTCTATGCTGATCTGGGACATATGGAAGGCCCTGCCACTTCTGAAAAGAGTTTGGAGATGCATGTAGAATGGGCCAGCAGAGCTAAAATGTGGATCTTCTGGAAGATGACAATACCCCAGCAGGACTCACATGATTTAGAGCCCTGTGTTTCTGGTGCTGGCTAAAGGAAATGGGAGAGGAGAGCAGAAAAGATCACCCAGCAGGACAGAGTAGTCAGAAAGAGCAGCCAAAGGCTGAATCTTGAGGGACAGCAGAGAGAAACACAGTCCCCCAAAGAAAACTGGAAAGAAGCAAAAGGGAGGAGGAAAGCCGGAAGAAAACATCATGGGAGGAACCTCCCGAAGGAGGGGCTGCCACTGTGAAATCATCTCAAAGACCGAGTACAGAGCAAACGTAAGAGTGTCTTCCTCTGGACTTGACACAAGAACCCCTCATGTTCTTGAACTCTCAGCAGTGACAGGGCAGAGGGAGATGACAGAGGGTGTCGAGGAACGTCAGGTGAGAAAGTGGACTTGGCAGAGGTTACTACATCAACAAGCTTGGCTGTGAAGGGAAGGACAGAGACCGGACTATACCCAGGAGGAACTCAGGGATGACAGAAGTGTTCGCTAAGAGAAAAGCACTCAGTAGCGTTTTTCTAATCATATCAATATTCAGAAATACAAAGTAAGAGACATAAATCAGTTATTGAAATCATAATTATTTCAGTTCTGTATTCAGTTGGTAAATGTAAGAGGAAGAAGGATGTGACATAAAGCAGACCTGTGCTGATGGCATGAGATAATTACATAAGCCTTCATTCAAATCTCCCTGCCTGCTCTGCCTGTCAGTTCTGTATTCAGTTGGTAAATGTAAGAGGAAGAAATATGTGACATAAAGCAGACCTGTGCTGATGGCATGATGAGATAGTTACATAAGCTTTCATTCAAATCTCCCTGCCTGCTCTGCCTATTCCTGACCCACCATTCAGCCTCAGGGCCTGCGTCCTTTTCCATCCAGTCTCACTAGCATAGAGATCAGCATTGGGAAAGGAATAAAGAGGCAAAAATAGTTTAATACACTATGAAATAATATAAAATATATATATACTGGTATGTATGCTTCTGCCCCAGTTCCTGGCACAGAGCCCTATAACCCTTGTAACATCTTAAGTGTTGAGAGCCTAGGGGCATCTTTTTTTCTATTGAGGTGACTCTGGGTGGGCTCCTGGATGGGGGCTGGTCACCAGAAAGACCAAGCCATGATTACAACTTGGAATTTTAGCCCCTACCCCTACTCCGCATTTCTCCAAAAAGGGGAGAGGGACTGGAACTGAGTTAATGATCGACCATGGCTATGGGAAGAAACTGCCATAAAATCCCAACAGCAGCGGTTTCAGTGAGCTTCCAGGTGGGTAAATACGCCCATGTACCAGACAGTGACGCACCCCAACTCCATGGCAACAAAAGCTCCTGCGCTCGGGACCTTTCCAAACCTTGCCCCATGTATCCCTTCATCTGGATATTCACCTGTACCCTTTGTCATATTCTTCAATAAACTGGTAAACGTAAGTAAATATTGCCCTGAGTTCTGTGAGCTGCTCTAGCAAATTAATTGAATTTGAAGAGGGGGTCATAGGAACCTCTGATCTGTAGGCAAATTGGACAGAAGTTGTGGAGAGCCTGGGACTTACTACTTGGGATTGGCATCTGAATGGGATGGGAACAGTCTCATGGGATTGAGACCTTAACATGTGGACTCTGATGCTATCTCCAGGCAGATAGTGTCAGAATTCAATTAAATTGTAGGACACCCAGCTATTGTCACACAGAATTACTCATTGGGGTAAAAAACTCAGATGAGCAGAAGTGTCATCTGTGACATGTTCTGTGTGAATATGGTAATAATATTAAAGTAAAAGAGACACACAGATGGAGAGCTGAATTTTTCCCCTAACATGCACACTAACACAAAATAGTGTACATGCTTGGAATTTGCTGACGTGACCTGGTACATACTCTATGTTTAGTGAAATAGCACATAAAAACACCTCAAAAAGCCAAAATGCAAAATGTGGACAAATAGAAGAAAAGATAATATTTTTCTCTTTCCTACTGAGAATAAGACCATCATTGAATTACCTACGATTTGCTCTTACCTGAATAACCATATATTTCAACAGTATTTGTAGAAAAAAGCATGTTTGGTCCTCAGCAATCTTTTCCCCAGATACGGCTGGCAGGAGTGGAGTGATCTCCTCTGGATATATCTTTGCTACAGAGCGGAAAATAATGAGAGCTCTTTCACCACAGTTAAATTTTAAACAGGGTTTTTTTTTAAATGGCCTCTATTAAAATACATCTATCCATTCATTAGAACTGCTCACACAGACCACACCAGTGTGCATGAAGGGCTGGGAAACAGGAGACAGAAGGCCATGAAGCCACCCCTACCACTGCACCATCCTTTTTCCTCTCCAATTCTGCTCTGGTCAGTCTAAGATCAAATACCTGTCATTTGGCAATAAAATTGATGTGCAGTTATAAATCAATGGTCCTAACAAGACATAAATGGCTGCCAGTAATAGTCCCATGAGGCCACTATTGTCCTTCCATGAATGTTGCATGAAAATACACAGCTGGCAAAAAAAGAACCTGGGTGAGCAGATGAATGTCCACTTATGAAACAACAGTAATGAGGACAAAAGACAGTACTTTCGGGAAGTGGGTATGAATTGCATTAACAGCCACAAAAACACTCCAGACATACCATGTGTCTCTACTTTCTGCTATTGCCAACATCTGTCTACTCCCTTCCATTTCTGTTTCCACCACTTCAGTAAACTTCTCTTGTCATCATTTCATATAAAACAGTCTGAAGTCTTTCAATTCTAATGTTTGTAAGACTCCACTGTGAATATGAACAGGATTCCTCTCCAAAATTCATCTATGAAATCAAGATTTCTATTCAAGAAAATGGCAAACCAAGGAATTCCTTAATGTAACTTCAAGAGTCCTTTCAACCAGTAAGATCTGCTCACATCACTCACCATCAGCTACACTAGGGCTCGGATTGATGAGTGTCTCCAGAGTACAGGGTCCTCTGGAGGACAAGATTGCTGGGAAACCAGGCACGAGGCAAGCAAAAATCAGCACCTGCTCTTCTGCACAGTTTGTCTGAAGTGCTTGAAGCCACAGAAGAAACAGCCTGATTCCTTCACATCTTATCTAAAAACAAAATTAAAAGTAACAAAATTAAACATACGTATATGGAGAAATGCATTTTAATGTAGCATCAGTTCTGAGAAAGAAAAACTAGAGGTGAAAGGTACTGTTAAAGTACTGCACCAAGTTCTTTACTTAGAGACAAGTAAGTAAGGATACTGCAATACAGCACAAAGGTTAAGAGCTTGGGTTCTGGAGCCAGAGTGCCCGGGTTCAAATGCAGGCTCTGCCACTTTCTAGCTTAGCTGTGACCTGTGGAAAACCACTTAACCTCTCTATGCCTTAGTCTCTCCACCTGTAAAATAGGGATGATAACAGAATTTACCACGAAGTACTAGTATGGATCGAGTGAGTTAGAACAGTGTCTGGCTCACAGCAAGCACTGTGTATTTCCTATTAAACATACTTCATTCCATAGGCACAATGCCCATATCATCAACACTCAATTACTCATGAACAATGCAAAAAAATCTTCCTCCAAATTTGCACTGTGCTTTGGACAGCATTCATGTCATGTCACTACAATAGGCACAAGTCTAATGCTCCTGTAAATCAGAACACTTAGAGCTAAATAAGACTTTGAAGAACTGGCTCAGTGGGCTGGGGCAGCTCTCATGTCCCTATCTATTCTCTCCAACACCTTTGCCAAGTTCTAAATGCTGAGCATCACTGGTAGAAAACATCTACAGAGGCAGCTGTGTCCTTCCTCCTCCTCTACACTTACTTTCAACTTCATTCTATTCCAAGAATTCATAAACACCGGTACTTCCATTTCTATATACCTAAATGGCTGAAAAGATAACATCAAAGAAAGAAGTTAAATAAGCAAAAGAGATGAAAAAGTGTCAGACAGAGCTGAAAGATTAGCGAGCTCCAAATGTAGGCAACTGAGGGCCTGCCTGGCCGCCTTTCAATTACACCAAGGTACGGATCCTGCCAGAGTGAGTATTCAAGCCAAACAGGAGGCTCTACAGAAAAGCCAAGAGGAGGAGAAAGGCCAAAAAAAAAAAAAGAAACAAAAAGATTGGCTAACACCCCATAGAAGTCAAATTCACAAAGACAAGTGGCAGTGCTACTCCCATTAACAATGGACTCCACAGCGTACTTTCAGACCTGCTAGTGAACTCACTACTCATCTGCACAAACCCCCATGGACACTCACATCTGTCCTATCCCCAAGCAGGTAAATTAAGTAGTGACATTACTGAATGCATAATGCTATTCAGAGTCCGACAAAAAATGACATGGTACTATGTGTACCTAATCAAATTATATTAAATTTAACAAGAAGAAAGTTCAAAATTCTATCACAAGTCTCCAATATTCTTATGCTAACTGTATTTCAGGTAATTAACACAAATAAGGCCAATAAGAAACATGAGATAACAGCCTCACAGGTTTTAACTGTAAGACTATTCATTATAATAGGAGGGACAAAACACAGAATCTATTGTGAAGCTAGAAGTAGCTCGCCTCCTTGTTTCAGCATGTAAGAGATATTTAACATACCAAGTTTAAGTAGCTATGATGGTTAAACCAAAAAATGTAGTAGCTTACTAAAGGCACACTCATAACTTAATGAGCCACAAGTGAATTACCTTCCATAAAATATACATCCCAGGCTGGCTTCTATGCCAATAATGTTTTAGTGCCATCTTATCCCAGCATCAAATGGCATGTCATTATAAAAGGCATACTCATTTTAAAATAAGACAATTTTAACTTAAATTACAAGATCAATCTCCTTACATCAATAAATATTCAAGAGGAAGGCTCTGCTGCTCTTTCCCACACAACGGTGCTCAAAAATAATTCAGAGACAACAATGATTTTAACAAGATTACTGGGTGAACAGAATCAGGCACGTTAGCTCTGAAGGTTAGAAAGGAACTGGTTCAACCCCTTCCCTTTTCTAATGATAAAACTGGAGCAGTTAGCACCTTGCCACTGGTTCCCTAACTGTATACAGCAGAATCAAAATTAAAATTCCAAACTCCAAATCCCAAGCCAGTTTCTCCTAATAATATTTAAAATGTCTATCACAATAAGTTATGATATAAGAACAAAACTAACAATATTGGAAATATAATTTCTCAATTAAAAATAAAAACTAAGCCCTAGCCCAGGGGTCCTCAAACTTTTTAAACAGGGGGCCAGTTCACTGTCCCTCACACCATTGGAGGGCCAGACTATAGTTTAAGAAAAAACTATGAACAAATTCCTATGCACACTGCACATATCTTATTTTGAAGTAAAAAAACAAAACGGGAACAAATACAATATTTGTATTTGCATGTGGCCCGCGGGCCGTAGTTTGAGGACCCCTGCCCTAGCCAGTTTGGTTCAGTGGATAGAGCATCAGCCAACGGACTGAAGGGTCCCAGATTTGATTCAGGTCAAGGGCACGTACCTCGGTTGTAGGCTTAGCCTGGTTGGGTGCATGCAAGAGGCAACCAATCAATGTTTCTCTCTCTCTCTGTCTCTCTCCTTCCCTTCCACTCTCTCTAAAAATCAATGGGAAAATATCCTTGGGTGAGGATTACCAAAAAAAAAATATTAAAAATAAATAAAATAAAACTAAAAACTAAGTCAAGTGGTTTTTAAAGTTCTTTTCTAGTGGCCTAATTTTGTTACTTTATGGAATGAATAACTTAAGAATAATAAAAAATGCCATTACACATTCATCTAAAATAAATACCTTAACAGAATTTCCAGTGTGTAGAAGCTTCTTTAAAGTTGAGCCTGAAAGTTTAAAACAATAGATTAGAAATGGAGTATATAAATTTAAGATCTATTTTTAAAAGATCAGTTTTAGAAAGAAAAAATGTTTTTATAATAAAAGATAAAAAATAAAAGGAAGAAGGCTGACCTTCAAAAACAAAGCAATGTCTTGGAAGGAGAGATGTTTTTAAGATAAAAGTACTTTGAATATGAACCTTTTCAAAATTCTTTTAAGAGAGTCAAAATGATTGATATTAAGGAAATACAGATGCCCACGCACATTAAGGAACTCTTTTCAAATAACAACAAATTTGTGCAGTGGGGATATAAGAGCAGAAGGTTTCAAAATGAGAACTGGTGATAAGTACCTGAGAGCCTTGCCTGGCCACTTAAAGTATTTCTTCACACCATAAATTCACAAAGATATTTCTACTCTAACTTTACCATTATGAAATCCTTTTCATTTTAATTTCAAAAAGTTTATCTGTATATATCTTACCTGTTTGATTTTTAAACTTATCCAAACTATCATTACACCCATCCCCATCTCTTCAAGCCTACTGGTTGCCTCTACATTGATTCATGTGAAAAAAAGAATTAATGAATAAGTAAAATCTAATTAGTTGAATTGATTCTCTGAATTTCTAACTTCTATTGGCTAGCTTTTATTGTATTTATAAATAACCTTAAATGTAAGTCTTACTACTTTTGAGGAGGCAGTAAGAATATCAAGGCTGGGACTAGGATGAGAAGAGTGAAGATTCTGCAAAAAAATTAAGGCGGCAACAAAAACTCAGTAGTCAAAACAAATATCTTAATGAAATAGTTTTTAAAATATAAAAAATCCATAATGACCAATATTAAAATTTTACATAAGTATCAATGTTGAGCTGAGTCATACTAGAGCATGGGGTAAAAGGAAAAATATATACCACTATAAATAATTTTAACGGCCAAATTTCCCCAAAATTTTAAATGTCGAAAAAATATTGAAAAATCAAAAAACTCAATATTAAAAAGTATTTTAAAATCACATTATTTAAATATTTTATTTATAAAACAGAATGTAATATAATTTTGCTTTCTTGGCTTTAACAGAACCAAATTCATCAATATTTTCTAAATCTACTTTCTTGCTCATCTCATTTTCAATTCCAAGAATTGCCATTCTTGATAATTTCTACTCAGGAAGAACTGACAATCATTTAAAAATCTTTTTCAAGGCCGTAAGTTCACAAAAATAGTTTGAATCTAAATTTAACATTATAAAATCCATTCTTAATTTAATTTTTTAAAAACTCCCTCTATATATCATGCCTCAAACAATTAATAAGAAATGCAGTATGCCCCCCCCAGCAAAGGGGCAAAAACATAGAGAAATGCCCTCTGGGGGCTGGCCTGCAAGATCTGCAGAAAGCTGCCAGTGGAGCAGAAACACAGAACCTTCTGTCACTATAAATGTCTATGATAAATGCAAGAGAGCAGCAGTCCACTGGAGGAATTTGAAATTAACAAAAATTAACTCAAAATAAATCAAGGACATAAATGTGAAACATGTAAGTATAAAACTTTTAGAAGACACAGGAGAAGATCTTTATGATTTGGGTAAAATAGAGCATAGGAAATACAGTTGATAATATTATGCCTGGTGGGTGCTTGAAATACTGGGTGGATCACTTTCTAAAACATGACTGTCTATCCACTATGCTGTACACCTGAAACTAAATAAAATAATACTGAATGCCAACTGTACTTGAAAAACAATATTTTTTTAATTTTAAAAAATGTTTATATAGCACTGTTCTTCCTACTACATACGGAATACTAGATTTAGAATGTAAAAAACTAAAATAAGTAAGGATAGTAGAAACCTAAAATGTCAGCTACTGACTATTGAAAAGCTTCCTGCACTAGCCTCAGAGGTTGTGTAAAAGTCAAGATGCCAAAGCTAAGACAAAATTTAAGGCACATTCCTTTGAAATCTGGAGTTTCATTATAGTTTCTTATTTTCTACAACTAACTTGGTCAATACCTTGAGTGACAAATAGTAATGGTTTTAACAAGTCCAAATAAACTGGGAAGAATGCAAGAGGTACAGTGACATATGTAAAAAAAAAGTGTAGGGCTGAGAACCAAGATGGTGGCATAGGTTAACGCCGGAATTTGCTGCCTCGAACAACCACTTCAAAAATACAACTAAAAGACGGAACGAACATCACCCAGAACCACAGGAAGGCTGGCTGAGGAGAGATTCTACAACTAGAAGTAAAGAGAAATCCATACCGAGAATCAGAGGAGGCGCAGTGTGGAGGTGAAATACTAAGGTGCGGAGGTGCGTGTGGAGCGGGCCGGTGGCAGAGGGCGCGATTGTTGTTTTCAATCGGGAGGGAGTCTCAGACTCTGAGCTCCAGATCCGGGCGAGTCTCTAGGGACCCAGACTCAAACGTGAGAAGCGGGAAGGCAGCTTTCTCTCCAAGGTTTGCAGCGGTTGCAGAGCCGCTGGGGACGGAACTGAGAGCAGCCATAACTGCCCGCCCTGTAGATCCCCGGGGACCCGCCCCGCCCAAGCCCTGCACAGAGGCAT